GTCTCTCCCTCAGTCTCCCTCTCTCTCAGTCTCTCTCCCTCTCAGTCTCTCTCTGTGTCTCTCACTGTCTCATTGTTATTCAGATTTCCCACAGCCCCTGAACGCCTCCCCTCCTCCACCGGAGCGTGGTTACCGGACATGAGAGCAGCTCGGCCCGGTCAGGACCTCACACGTCTCCCGGAGAGGACGGAGCGCAGCAGCCCGGTTCACAGTGAGTGGCCCCGGGTGTTTCACGGCCTCTGGTTCCGGTGTTTGCGGCCCGGGCGGCGGGGAGGTGGGTCCGCTCCGCACGGCTCCGTTTCCGGGTTGGCCGACTTTGTGCACACGGCACCGGGCTGGTGCGGAGCGCACAGCCCCAACGTGGTTCTGTTTACCCCGGTGCGAGCGCGTGTTCCGCGGCGGAGGCGGACACGCGCGGCCGCTGGTGCCGCGGGTGTCTGTGGTTGGATCTCGCCGTCACTCGTCACCCGAGCCTCGCCGCAGCAGGAGGCCCGGGCTCGGGCCTGGGCCGCCCGGCAGGTGCCCTCTGTTCGCTCCCTCCGGGAAATTGAGGCGCAAAGCCGCGGATAGCACGAAGCTAACAGAGCTAACCCTCTGTTTTAAAGCGAGTTAGCATTAGCATCGGTGGAGGGGAACTAGCTCTGATTCCTGCGGCCAGACTCCATTCAAAAAACACACCATTTAACAGCCCGGATCAACTCCTGCACGTTTTTAATTCCTCTGATTATATTTAAATGTAAAAGTTTTTTAACATTCATCTCAGGCCAGTTTCAGCGTGGTCACTGTGTTAGAAGTGAACTCTAATGTGTAAATCAAGGCTGATGTATGTTCAGTGTGTTTCTGCCGCTGGATGCTTGAAGAAAGTACCTTTCTTCACTAACAGCTGGTGAACAGCCGTTAACTAGTTCTTCTATCCGTGTAATTGAAGACCACAGAGTGGATTATGATGATAATCTTATTATCGAAGACATGATGTATGATAATCTGTGTCCAGGATTAACCACAGTCCGTTAAAAGCTCTTACTGAAATGTTGACATGTTCAAGTTTCTGCTGCTTATTCAAACATCTGCTCCTCCTTCTCTCCGCTGAAGAAGCTCATGATCACAAGGTTAGAATAGAAGAACGAGTTATTGTCCCCCAGGCCGGAAACTTCCAATAATAATAATCCAGTAAAATAAGCTCTTATTCTTATGAGGTCCACTTTCTGAGAAACCAGCCAGTAAAATCTTCACATTAGAGAAACTGGAGCAAATGTTTGACACCTTCGCTTTTAAAAATGAGGCTGAAACGATGAAGTGTTCATCAACAGTTGCAGATTAAATACCAACTGATCATTTCTTGTATTCTTCCCTCGTTAAGGTGGCGTCATTCCCCGTCAGTGACAGTCCTGGTTTAGACGGCACAGACGATGGCTGAGGAGAAGAGTGGAGCCGCTCTGGCCGTGATGTTACTCCTCGCCGTGAGTTTGTCCGGCGGTGACTTTTCGGCCGGGTCAGACTGCAGCCAGTCCACCACAGAGGTGAACGCCCGGATGAGTTTAGTGTCGGCGGTGGTGGACACACAGAGGGCGGAGCAGAGCCAGAGGCGGCACCTGGAGGCTTTGTTCAACAGGTTTAACTTTGGATACTGTCAATAATTTAAACGTGAAGTGACTGGAAATGTTCAAACTTATTTAGTGTCACATTCTTCAAATGATTGTTGTTACCGTTGGACGTTAATCGTGATGTTTTATTAAACTTGACAGATACGGAGAAAACGGCACCATCTCCCTGGATGGGTTGAAACGGCTCTTACAGAGCGTGGGGCTGAATCATGTCAGGGCCGTTATGGTGCAGCATCACGAGCAAATAGGATACCGTCACCACCACCATCACCACCACCACCATCATCACGATCATCACGATCACCAAGAAGGCCATAACCACCATCACCACCCTGATGACAACCACTCGCATCACCAGAAGCATGTCCACACCGAGGCCTCGCGACCCGGAAAGTTCCCTAAGAACGTAGAAAATCCAGACGGCACGCTGAGGAAGAAGATGGAGATCACGAAGAGCCATCACGTCCCGTACGACAAGAAGAGCACGGTGGCAGCTCAGGAAGTCGGCACCACGGCGGTGTACAGCGCTCAGCTGGTGCTGAAACAAGTCAGCGGCCTGGAACAGGCCAGTCCACCAACCAGAGGAGGAGCTGCTGCTGCCGCCAGGCCGGGCGCCGGCAACCACACACAAGCAACTGCAGTCAGCGGCGTGGATGATGGCGACCACGACCCAGAGTATGATCAAGATCACGTCCATATAAACCGCAGCTCGGAGAGTGTCGAGGTACAACATTTAATTCCTGGTTGAGATTTGTGTGATGATCAGGATCTGATCCTCCTCATGTGCGACTCACATGTTCTCAGAGGTCACGTGTGTTTATTGACTCCATTAAGATTCAGTGCTGATTTAATGTGAAGCAGCAGAGAAGGAACAAACCCTCCCCGGACAGATCAGTGAAGACAGTTTCTGTGTTTCTATCTGCAGTGCCTGAACGTCTCCAGCATCCTCTCCTCACATGGGATGTCTCAGGAGGTGGGCGTGACCCTCGGAGACTTCAGATACCTCTGCCCCGCCCTCCTCAACCAGATTGATTATGGAGCGTGCATTGTGCACGGAGACGACACCAAACACGGGGAGAGAGGTTTGATTTACTTATACTCAGTGTGTTTTTGTCCATCTGAACGAGGCTGTGCCCTCTGGAGCCGAAATGATCTATTGATTAATCAGTGAGTCATTTGTTATGGCTCCGCCCCATTGACAGCAAGTGTCCATGGGCATTATGTCTTCAGGTTGTTGGTCTGTGAACACGATATCTCAGGAAATTGGAATCTTACACAACACAAGACTGTCCGCACAAATAAAGTTGTTTTTAATTTGAATGGAGGCATTTCTGATGATGTCACATCTGTAATGATGATGTCAGACGTCACCTGTCTGACAACGTGATGTGTTGACGTTTACCTGCGTGTGTACCGGTACCACCTGAGCGGACCAAACCAACTGTTCAGCATTAATAAAGAAGCTGCTGCTTATTTCTCTCTAGACCATAAACATAAACATGCTCACGGTCACCATGGTGACCACAACAACTCAGACCATGACCACAGCGAGCGCACCGGTGGAGAGAGCAGCAAGAACATCACCACAGGTGAATTATAGACTTTTGATTGACTTCATCTTAGGTAAAAAGTTTATCAGTCAGACTGACGCAGGCGTTTGATTCGTGTGTTGCAGCGTGGGTCGGCGGGTTAGTCTCCATCTCCGTCATCAGCCTGCTCTCCCTCATCGGCGTCGTCCTCATCCCGCTCATGAACAGAGTTTTCTTCAAGTTCCTCCTCAGCTTCCTGGTGGCGCTGGCTGTCGGCACACTGAGCGGTGACGCCTTCCTTCATCTCATCCCTCACGTGAGTCTGCGCAGTGCCGAGGAGCTCGCTGACTTCCTGTAGCTTGTGTTACTCCAACTGTTCATTGTCGGTTTGTGCTCCAGCTGCTTTCTCTCTTGTGTTTCTGCTGCTCACTTCGTCGCTTCGTGTGCTTCAGTCTCAGGGAGGCCACCATCACCACCACCACGAGGAGTCTGGGATGAACATGGAGGCACCTCACCTCCACGACGAGCACGACGAAAACCTGGACGCGGTGTGGAAGGGCCTGACGGCTCTGGCTGGAGTCTACTTCATGTTTCTGATCGAACACTTCCTGACACTGGGGAAAATGTACAAGGACAAGAAAAAGAAGGTCAGAGCTTCAGGATGTTTGGATCAATAACTCTGAGTCACAGACGCATCAATATCAGTGTTTGCTGATACGAACTTTACAGAATACACGATGCAGAACAGGTGTATTTATACTTTTC